TATTATATTTATTAACCAGTTAGTAAGACTTTGTTGATATAAACATTATAAAAATAATAAGTTAATAAATTTTGTTTCTAAACCCTAAACCCTAAACCTTAAATCCTACACTCTAAATCATAAATCCTAAACCCTAAATCCTAAAATCCTAAACCCTAAACCCTAAACCCTACACTCTAAACCCTAAATCCTAAAATCCTAAACCCTAAACCCTAAATACTAAACCCTAAATCCTAAACACTAAACTAAACCCTAAACTTCAATTTTGTAAATCCAAACCCTTGCATATCTCTTAACTCTCAGCCCTTTAGCACAAATCCCTTACATTACAAGGGTTAAGAGATATCCGGATAATCTAGTGTTTATCCACGAAATTTGCAATCGTAGCCAGCCAAGTGACTGAAGCCAACCTATATTTTGTATCAAACACAAAACGACTGACACAAAAGATTTGGATGATCAAAGATTTAAATATCTATGCAGAAATGTCTGACACAAAAGATATGGTGTATCTATTGTATCTACAACTCCTAGCGCATGGAAGAATGGGTGCTACCCGTTAGTTAAGGTCAGGTGAGAGATTATGACAAAAGGATATGAAGGTAAAACAACTCATTCAACAGTAACAGCTTTTTTTCTCTTTGGTATATTGCAAATTACTCATAAGTTTTTTGGTAGGAGAGCAAATTTCTCTTTTTATAAAATGTACGTAGAAAAATAACACTTATATTACTTGAATTTCTCTCTTAGATAAATTAAAAAAATATTAAGCTCATATGTTAATTAATCACATTTTATATATATATATATAGACGTTTCTAAAACATTTCTATTTCTATATTTTTTTGAGAATCACATTTTGAAACGTTTCGTATCCACATACCCGTTTCCGATTCAATGCAACATACGCCAAAACTACATTCCACAAGTTAAACAAAATATCAAGTAGCCAATTTCCGGCTAGTTCTCCTTTCCATGGATTCCAGAAATTAAAATTTCATTAATTAGAACACATGGAGAAATGACTACAGACAGACACAACAACAACAACAAGATATATTATTATTTAAAAAAAAAAAGACAGACACTGAGACACACAAACCACATAAACCTAACTGGACCAGACCACACCAGTCCAGACCCAACACGAACACAGACACACCTGCCCCTAAAACCTACTTGGAGGTGGAAGATTCAGAGTCACTCTCGGTACCAGACTGAGAGTCAGTCTCAGCGTCAGCCTCCGATCCAGCCTCAGAGATAGTCTCAGTCTCAAATGCAGGAAACAGGCGTATTTGTCTAGCTTTCCAAAGCCTGTATGCAACCACTTTGTTTTTTTGATTAGCAAACGACAACTTCATCGCTTTTTCTATCTATGCCGCCCCCCTTTTCTCAGCCTCAGTCTTCTTATTACCTCTCTTTTCCAACTATTCTGCCTCCTTTAGGAATGTCTCGGACATCTGGCCTGAATACTCACTCAACTTCTCCAAGTTTTCCTCATTGGTGAGGGTGAAATGTTTCTTGTGCTTGGTTATATACTGCCGAAGCTGTGAACGTCAGTTGGTGGGGACTCGTTAAGTTTGCTGAGGTTTGGGTAAATCGTTTGTCTCATCTTGGACAAAGGTATCTATGGCCTTTTGATCCCTTTCTCAAAATCCTCACAAAATTTTTTAAACATTTTGATGAACTGCCTGCTGCGACTCATTTTTGAGTTATCTGAGAGAGAGAGAGAGAAAAAAAAGAGAGAGACTTAAACAGAACACATAACCACCTGGTGGAATAAGACTCGGACTAAGGACACAACATGCATTGTTTTTAAAGACATTCACATATCCCTATGCCACACCTACTTAGAGGTCGATCCAATCTTAGAGCCGCCAGACACCAAGCCATCAGTCTCAGAGGAAGTCTGAGAGGTAGTGTCAGAGGCAGAGGCAGTCTCATTTGAGAGGCATTTGGGAAAGTCCGATATGGTTTCACACTTCCAAACAATGTAGCCATCAACTCGTGCTTTTGAAATTTTCACACATGTTTTTGAAATTTCATAAAAAAAGAGAAGCAAAAACTAAAAAATTATTTAGCAAAAAATTAGAAAAAATAGCAAAAAAAATAGGAGCAAAAATTCTAAAATTCCTAAATTATTTCATCTCATGTTCAAATTTTAAAAATTAAGCCTATCATCTATAACTTTTGGCCAATCCATAATTTCAATCCGTTTGAGCTTTTTATATAGCTTACTTACAAAATTCATTTCTCTTTTAGTTTTTGTTTTGCTAGTAAAAGTTAATCAGAATGATGATCAATGTTACTACTCTTTGGAGTAATTAGCAAAGGTATACTTTTTAAGCATCATCTCCAGTTTCTTGTTTAGATTATTAGTTTCTCTGGCTGAGAAGATATGAAAAGAAATCTTTTGACTTTGGATCCATTTTAACTATATCTAGTTCAAATATATTCATTTATTTCTTTGCTTTTCTCTTCTTAGGCCAAGTCTTCTGATTACGTTACCGGACTCAGATAAATCTTGCCAAATGTGGAGCAAACAGGTTATAACTTGCTTAAAAATATTGATGGATATTTCTTGTGCAGCCTTCTTCCTCATGGTTTAGAATCCAGAGTATGGATATTGAATCAAAGAAATCAGGTTAGACACATATGTTAGTATTTAAGTTAACCTTCTAAAAAATTAACAGACATACCAATAAAAAATAAAAAAAAATCTATTCAAATTAATATTTTTCTTATTTTTTATTTACCTATTTATTTTATGTTAAAGGATTTAATATTACCTATTTACGCTGAAAAGCTTAGTGCGGCCCATCTTTAGAATGTGTGAGAGAGAGAGAGAGAGAGAGAGAGAGAGAGAGAGAGAGAGAGAGAGAGAGAGAGAGAGAGAGAGAGAGAGAGAGCAATGATATTTGATGAAACAAATCAAAACAATTTCATACGAATTAATTAATTACGAATATTTTGACCACAAATAAAACATCATAATTTTTTAATTCAATTTTTTAAAACATCATAACTGAGACCTTTTTGTTTGTTTACTAAACATCATAACAAAATATCTAATAATTAGTAGTTGAACACAAAAAAAAATACTGAAGCTTAACACATTATTATCAGTATCAGTGCCGTTCAAAGCATATAGAGACATAATTTAGTGTTTTTTGTCCTTGAAGAATACTAATTAAGAACTAAAATAATCAGAACACTGAAAGTATATAATTTAGAATGTCTCCAATAATATATTCCATATTAAACTACTAAAATGTTGTTTTTATCATAGGCAAAGACAAAAGAAATATGGATAAAAAGAGATGGTGTTACAGATAACTCAGAACCCAACATAGATTTCTTCATTATCAACCTCAATTCATTAGCCATTTCATCTTTTTTGGATAACAGCAAAATCTTGATTTTAAGCGGCTTCATAGACATAGGTTTGGGGTCCATTCATTTGTATGTATTAAATAAATCATGTTTTTCTGTCATTTGATTCTTTCATCTAAAAAGCTATGGATCTTATTTATTGTAACTAACATTATTATGTTTTGTTATCAAATAGTTTATGAGTGAAACTAAGGTTGAAAACAAAAATGTATGAAAGACAAATTTAACATATGAAAATTCTTGGTTCATATTAGACACATATGTAGAAAATGCACTAATTTTGAAAAAAAATGAAATAATGGTAGCTAGACTCATTTTTCTGTTACTTTAATTCTAACTGAAATTTAATAGCAATGATACAACGAAACAGAAAACTATACTACCAAAAAAAGGCACACACGTATACATACATGCCTTCTTAAACATAACTGAGAGGTCAATTTTATATAGTAACTCGTAACAACTAAGAAAATGTAGCTAAAGGTCTTTATACTACAAATCCGTTAGAACAAAACAAGTTAGTTTATCACTTGAATAAATGAATTTCATAGTAGAGACGCAAATCATTGGTATCACTTTGTTAATAACTGAAACAAAAATACCGAATATTTGCATTAATAAAATAAATGAAGTCAATATAAATATATCAATTGTAAAAATGATGTTAACTTTTACATCATTTATAATTAGTACAAATATATAAATAAATGATGTAAATTAACTTGTTTTTTGTAGTGAAATATTTTGCTATAAACGAGATTAACGTTAAAGGAACACTAGTATTTTATGTTTGGCTATGGATACATTTTAAGTTCGGTTTATTGGATTCTTTAGTAATGATCTTTGATTTTAAAAATATAAATATTTATTAAGGATATCATTGATTTTAATAGCTCTAGTTTTAAAATTTAGGGCTCAAATACAAAAAACAATATCAGTTTGTAAAGAACAGTATAAATTTTATTTATTATATAATTAATCATAAATTAATATAATATTACACCAAAAATAAAATTTTAGAATATTAACCAAGTTAAAAACAAATTTGATTTTAAAAATTAGAAAAGGAAATATTCAGTCACTTTTAGAAAATTATCTAGAAAATAGTATGTATTATGTTATTAGCGAAGATATATTTTAAGGATTTTTTCAAATTAAGAAACATAAAGATAAATTTGTATATCTATTCTTGAGTTAAAAGTAAAAAGAAAAACTACTATAGTATATGAAGTAATTGTTTTCAAAATATTTACATTACATAAGTTTTATCAAGCTTTTACATAATAAAATAAAGTTTTCATTTTAATGAAAAACTATATCTGTCCAATGAATTTGATGATCAATTCATTAATCATTTTTGACAGCTTGATAAATTTTTTAACTGATAACATATGTAGTAGAAATATTTATATGATGATTAGGCCGCAGCATAATATGCTGGTAAAACAAAACCGTAGAAAGACAGAACTATATAAAAGAAAACAAATATTTAAGCCCAAACCTAAGCATAAGTTAATTACGGTACGGTATTAAAATGTTGTCGTTTTGCAGTAAGGCGATAATCGTTATCCTCGTCTTCTCGCCATGAGTCGGAACAGATATGAAGAGTTAGCCTCACTTCGCAGCAGAGTCTGAAATAATGGCGAGCATGACTTCTCTCCATAGCTCGTTTACATCTCTTTCGATATCCAACGACTCCTCCTTCCTCGGCCAACGTCTCCTTTCCCCGATTTCCCTCTCCCTCGCTTCTCCAGTAACTCCGATTTTCTTATATATTTTTTTATCAAAGACATTGCCACGTTTAGCTTGAACATGTTGCTGTAACGAGTTCATTCGGAAACACCTCTGTAAAACAAGTAAAAATTGGAACTTTGTTCTGTGTTTCTGCGCTATGAGTTAGTACAGAACTTAGATGAACCCTTAACACGTAGATGAAGACTTTGCATTGTCTCTGTCTTTCTTTTTTTTGTGTTAGTACTGAGCGTGATATTTTCTCAATAGAATGCTGTCTATCTCTACTTGGCTTAGCGACGCATTTAAAACTTCTAAGTTCTAACTAGGGATCTCATTGCCTTCTGCCTGTGGGCATTTATCACTTTTTTGGTTTTATGGCTTTTTGGTTGATTATTATTATGTTTTTGTTGCTTGAAAATATTGAGTCAGAGGAATTGTTCAAAGTGTCTGCAGTTGGATGGTTCCTTTATTACTCTGTTCTACTCTTTGCAGGTCAAGCTCGCCCAAAACCCATGTCTTGTTTTCGCAAAGGTTAGTGTGTAAGATCCTATTACCTCCTACATTGGCTTAGCCTTTCTGCATTTTTCTGTTAATATAATAGATTTGAACCAAAATAAACAAAGTGGCAAAATCTTTCGTGATAGGATATGAAACTTTTTGGATTCCAACCAATAGGAGAGTGTTGAGTTTCATTCGTTAATTTTCTAAGGGCATTACCAGGATTACTGTTCGTTATGTTGTTTATGTTTTTTCTTTTTCTTTCCAGCTTAAGCGTTGGGAGCGGAAGAAATGCAAGCCAAACAGTCTCCCAATTCTGCACAAAATGCATGTCAAATTTGGAGATACTGTCAAAGTAATATCTGGACGAGACAAGGGTAAGATTGGGGAAGTCACCAAGATCTTTACCCACAACAGTACCATTGTCATCAAAGATGTCAACCTCAAGACCAAACACATGAAGAGCCGAGAAGAGGGAGAGCCTGGTCAAATTCTTAAGGTCAGTCCACTCACATATGAGAGACATGACTTTCTCTTTCGTTTATTTTTTTTGCTAAACAGAAACCATTTTTATAGCTCATTTCCATTTGCCTTTGGAGCGATAATTGAATACTGTTTTCAGATTGAAGCACCAATCCACAGCTCAAATGTGATGTTGTATTCGAAAGAAAAGGAGGTGGTAAGCCGGGTGGGTCACAAGGTCCTTGAAGATGGACAGAAGGTAAGATATCTGATCAAAACAGGGGAGCTTATCGACACCATTGAGAAGTGGAAGCAACTCAAGGAGGCAAAGGATAAAGAAACCACCCAAGTTGCAGTTTCTGCTGCTTCTTAGCAACTTCAGTATGTCTCATGGATGTATTAAATCCCTTTTCTACTACATAAACACTTTTTTGATTAACTAAGTTTATAATGATCCTTAAATATGTGCTTTATTCAAAAGAATACAATCTTCACAGAGTATTTTCCAAAATACAGAAGCAAGGATCTGCTGATAGAGCAAATCCAAAACGTTGGCACTGCTCTGCTGATAGAGCAATCCAAAACAACCTTTAAACCATTCTTTAAGAAAAAGAGAACAATTAGCAAGAACCAAATTGAACTATTGCTGTTATTAATTTTTATTTAAACTAAAATCACCAATTAAATTGGTTATCTTTCTGACCCCAAAAATATTGGTTAGCCTTGATGATGATGTTTCAACATGTTATGACCTATGAGTTATGACGGGCCAGAAGTTATTTCTGGACAGTCTATAGACTCTATACCTTCAGAAACTTCTCAAGAGATATCATCATACAAAGTAGAGTTGCATGTTATTTATATATTAAATTTATCGTCTAATACTTTGAAGTATCATTTGGGTTTGCCTATTTATTCCAACATTTCTCCTTTGGAACTAATGATCACAAAGTTTTGATTCTGATACCAATTTGTTATGATGGACCATATGCTTTTTTGGATCATGCGCTCTACTAGAATCATATATTTGTTCTAAGACCATCTCCAATAAAAAACCTCATTTTAAGGGTTAAAGATCCTCAAAATAAAAGTTTGAAAGTGAACTCCAACAAAAAACCTCAAAATTGTTTTTAAAACCTTATATAATTTATATTTTAATCCTCAACTTTAATATAATTTGATTATACTTATTAAACTTTATACATATAAATAATACATACATGTTAAAAATATTAACCATAGTATTTATCATTTATATATAGATACTTTTGTTTTACCAATTTTTTTAATTGCATCTATTGAAAAAATAGTTATAAACTGGTTAAACTACATATACATAACATTTATATTTTAGATATTTTAATTGTAATTTTTATTTATTTATGTATTTTATGTATCAATAAAAATACATATGTAAAATATATTTGTATCTTTGGATAAAAAAAATTTAGTATTAGTATAATTATATGTAAATTACAAAAATGCAAGGAAGAAAATGAAAACTAAATAATTTTTTGAGGGTATGAATAGTAAACCTTCAAATTTGATGATCCACTATTCATGCTATAAAATTTTGAAGGTTTAAAAATCTGTTGGAGATAAAAAAAAAAATCATAATTTAAAGGTTTGAGAATCTGTTGGAGATGCTCTAAGCCAAATGTTCAACTATTGCATGTTGATGTAATAATGTCAGCGCTAAACCAAAACTGATTTATTGGGAATGCTACTTCTCAAAATACCTTATATCAAGTAAAATTAGACATTACATATGTATATTAGATTTTCTTTGTCCAATATTACTATATGTAATTCAAATTACCTATTTATCTTAACACAATAATGGAGAACAATGTAAGAAACACATCTATTTGAAATATTTGGTTAGGATGCATTTTTATCTAATTCTTTTTGGTTTTCTGAAAGAACCAAACAAGGAAGGCTTCTTAGTTTATTCTGATATGAATACTTCTTTGTCAACGATATGAATGTCCGGTTTTAATTTATGGGATAACACCACTCAATAATTCCCATCCAATATAAGTGGAGATTTTATTCAAAAATTATTTTTGTAATATGGAAAGCTGAGTCTGCCAGAAATGAAGTAGTTAGATTCTTCACATATTATTTTACAACCACACGGGTACTTAAATAAATGTTGAAGTACATTTATACAAAAGAGTATCAATAAACTTACAAAGAAGACTAGCTAAGGCTCTCAACGGTCTGCGAATGTGGACTTAGTTAGATCATAGTCGTGAAGCCTTCAAAAAAGAGCTCGCTTTTAGGTTCAGGTACCTTCTTCTGTGTAGCCATTTTCCATTTCACGTATAACACAAATGCATAAATTAGAAATCCAAGTACAAATGCCGCCATCAAGTATATGGGGATGAAGAAGAGAACGAGATGATTAGTCATATACTTCAAGAACATAGAGAGTGCATAAGAACAGATGAGAGGCACTGAAATGAAGATATACCACCAATTATATGCTTTACCAACTGGTAAGAGTATAAATGTCAAGGCAATAGCCAAGCAAAATGCTATAGTATTGAACCCCCACACGAACAACGCATTTATAAGGAATTCTCCGTTGTAACGTGTTTCATCATCCTTTTCCTGTGGTTGGACTGCTGTTTGGTAAGTGGCTGTGATTACCAAAGCTGTTATTACTAGAAGAGAGTTTCGTGTTCCATCCGACATACGGTTCTTATAACGTGCCATTGCCGTTGAGCAATATTCTAAGAAAGTTACTGATGATCTTAAGAAGAGATATGCTGTCTTAACTTTTCTAAGAGAAGACCCACTCTTACCTCCCGAGTTTCTTATCTTTTTTTCTGTCTTCATGTTCATGTGAGATCCATTGGTTCGTAAGAGATCAAGGGCTGTCAGACCACCTTTGTTCTGGATGTTCCGGTTCAATGATATGCATTTCAATAGCTGTTTAACTGCCTGTAGAAAAGTAAAAGCTTAACAACTACCATTTATTAGGAAAATTTAACATCAATGGTTCAAAGAGGATGAGTGTTTTAAAATATGGGTTTGTAAAGTCTCTTGAATTTCTAACTCAAAATTAGTTGCCGGTTAGTGGATTCTCAAAGTTAGTGGAATTTATTTATTAGTTATGTACCACTAGAACTTAAGCTTTGGGAGTATATTTTTACATACCTTCTTTAGAGACTATTATCTATGGTCCATTATTCTCTAGTGATCCCAATACTCTCCTTCGAGATAATGGCGATTCTAGCCATTAATCTCGCATACCATCATTCTCCGTCGAGAAACACAAGCCACTTTTGGGCTGGGTTACAATAATAGTTAGTTTAGAGGTTCTGATATCATATTAGGTTTATTGAACTTTAAACTCAAAACCAGTTGACAATTAATGGAATGATCCATATCACTTACATATTACTTATGTTTCATTGAAATTTCAGATGTAAGAATTTATACTCATACATACATTCGTTTGAGAATAAAGCTCATAGTCCATTAATCTCTCTCAATATGATCTAATCTCTATCAGAACATACTTTTGTTTTTTCTTCTTTTTTAATAGGAGATATTGAACTTTGACGGACCATGGAATGATGAATGTCGAGAATGCTTTTTAAATCATAAAAAAAGGATAACAACGTGCCTTATGATTATTCTTATATGCCGCGAGATGCAGGGTTGTGTTGCCATCACGATCGCGTCTGTTCAGTACATGAATCTCTGTGGACGCAGAGTCACTTTTATACGATCTCTGTATAAATCCTGTGAGCACTTTGAGCTCTTCTTCTCTATCATTCATCACCGCAATGTGTAGAGCAGTCTCACCATTGACGTTCGTGTCTTTGATGCTCTCTGGGCAAGCCAGTAGGAACTCAGTAAGAAGATTGACATCGCCTTTCTTTACTACAAGATGTAGTGGTGTCATGCCTGTCGTAGATAGGTGATTAAACAAATAAAGTTGACATCCTCCAGATTTATATTAATATCTTTCAGATATTTTAACTGACTTTTTAATGAATTACTAGAAAGTTGACTTTCATTTTAAAAAAATAGTTTACATTGTGCCATTATTATTTTATATTTAAGTTTTAACAGATTTAGGAAAAATAAAAATTTAAATGTTTTTTTTTGAAAATTTGTTTCGTTTGATTTGGTTTAACTATTTCAATTTTATTCTGTTTATATTTCAATAGAGTTTAAATTATATTTTTTAAAGATATTTATATATGTTACATTCAGTGATTATTCATCTCAAGTATGTCTTTCCTTCCTAATTTTAAGTATATCTATATTGAAATATATAATTTCTAATAAGCTTTAGATCTTTTTTTTTTTAGTTAGAATACTTTAAAATGGTAAAAAGTAAATTTTAATTAATTTAATGGTGATATATTATTTATTATTTATTAGTTATTAATGTGTTTCAAAAACTTACCAAAATAACTATTTATACATAAAGTTTATTTAAATATGATAGTATAAAAGTTATTAGCCAATATCATATTTAAAAATCTTTCCAAGAAAATATAAAATTTAATAAAGAAATTTTACATGTCACATTAAGTTGTTGCTATGTCATCTTTTTGTTTAAGTCATATTATCATTTTTTGTGAAAATAAATGTGGTAGTGACATATGTTTAAATTACTTGTCAAATAACGTATAAGAGATTTTAATTGTCTTTTTATAGAATCATTTCCAACATAATTAATGCATGACTTAGTTTTCTGTATATCATATTAGACTAGGTGTTTTCGTATATCATGTGCAGAAATAAAACTTTTAATGATAATGTGTGGAGAAACGCTATATTCGAAAGAATAAATTATGGTAATTTTAAATTATATTGTTTGTTTACAATATTTAATTTTAAATTTTAGTTTATTTATACGTAAAAATAAGATGCAATAATTAATTTTTATTTAAATTAAGAATATATATTTAAAATTATAATTATGGAGAGATTTGTTTATATAATTTTTGGTTAAAATATATGAAATTAAGTTCCATAGAAATTAACATACAATTTTATCAGATTTATAATTATCAAAAAACACTTATGGTATTGGGATGAGAAATTACAACTTTTTTAAAAAATACATAAAAGTTTTAAAGAAAATTAGTAATAAAATGATATAATTATAAAAACATTTAATGTTATTTCAAAATTATAAAATATTATTATATTATTTATTCTTATATTAATAGTGATCTATGAGTTACTATCATATTCTAAAAATCTTACCAAAAATATAAATTAATATTCTTTATAAATGTCCATATCACAATTAACTTCAAATCATATCACAATTAACTTCAGGATAGCTTAATCGCCAAAAAAATGTGCAACGGGTTAAGCCGTTGGGTTCAAACTATAATGGGTTAAAAATTTGGGCGTTTTGAAATTTTTTTTTCTTCACTCAAAATTTACAAATGCAAAGACCTCTTATATATTTATCTATAATTGGTACAGATCTAGCAAAAAAAATGAAAAAACAAAATCACTGTAAAAACGACAAAAAGCTAGTCATCAAGTTTAGGGTTAAGGAGGTCGTGGTTCAAAAGGAAAAAATAGAAATGAAAATGAAAATTTTTGTCTTTCATTAAACTGAATTTTTAAAAAGATCAAAATAGGCAAATTGGAATTCGAACCCAGCCCTACTTTGGGCACTATTATAACACTGACCATTGGATCATTTTAACTTTTGGGAAATTATCTTAAGTTATTTAATATATATACCTATAAATTAAATAAAAGTTAAAAATTTTCAGTTCACATAATTCTCGTTTAATCCCCGATTTTCTCGTTAGGCACTAGGCTTAATCCAATCGTTCGTCTAACGCTTAACATTTTCTCGAACATGGTTAATATGTCATGTCATCAACTTTCTTTAAAAATTAATGTGATGATGACACATGTCAAAATCACTTTTCAAATAATGTTTAGCAGATTTGAGTTTTTCAAAAACAAATATTGCTTTTGAAAAAGTGTAATATTATGTGTATGTATATAGACATGGTACTTAGTTTTTCTTTTTAAACATGAATTCATATTGCAAACTGTAAAGGGTATTTTTCCTTAATTGATCAAAGATAAGTCTTTTTATCACAAAATAGCACACATGAGAAAAAAATACCAAAATAGCATTTATTAAATAAAACAAAAAAACTAAATCACCTCCAACAAATAAGAAATTTAATATAGATAAATATTATACAAAAAAAAAATTACCTTAAGTTTTAAACTGTGTGTGTGTGTGATTCTTATCATTAATTAATTCTATTTTGTGATTGTTACTTTGGTGTGTCAGTTTCAAGATAATATATTATACTATTTGAAGGTATTTTCAACTGTGATTAAAGACAAACGATATCACTCTTCTTTTGTTTAATTTTTGCGTTTCATTTGAAATTGTAAGAGGAAACACACATAAAATCATGAGAACAATGAAAGTTTGAATGAAAGACCGACTAAAAAAAACATGAGCAAATACCTTTTCTGCCAGCAACACGAACAAGATCAGGATCATACTTGACTAGTTCTAGAGCTAATTGAACTTGACGGTTCTCAACAGCCAGATGCAAAGGGCTAAACCCTGAGGTGTTTAATTTCTTCGCAAAAGATGGCTTTAAAACCATCAGTTCCATCGCCAAATCTATCTTCCCGGTAGATGAAGCTTCATGGAGAGGTGTGTGGACAAAAGGTAAAACATCAATGTTTCTAGAATATATGGATCCTTATGAATTAGAGAATACAAAGCATCAATATTCCCCGAATTAGCAACCCAGAGCAACTTTGGATCCATAATTAGAAAGAAAACTGATTCTATAGTCCAGTTCAACAAATCCAACCATTGTAGTCATTATATAAATTAAGGGAGGATATTGAGTATTGACTAATCAATTCAATTCAATTCAATTCAATTGGTTATGAGTTATGATATTGTTTTATAGAAAAAGACAAGGAGTGCGTTATTTATATTTTTTCTTTTTGTTGACTTAGATTTAAAATTATAATTTTTTTTTTTTTTTTGTCCACCGCCCATCTGAAACTAGATCAGATTTAAAATTATAATTTTATGCAGTGCTTCATCAATCGTACGAGTTCATCGAGTTTAATTAATCCTTATGTCTGCTAATTTTTTTCATTATTATTTAGGACTTTCCTGTTTAAAATTTCTTGTAAAATTGGGATTTATAAAGGTTCTACATGATTTCTTTTGCATATTTATAGATAGATATGTAAGACTTTAAGAGTTTTATAAGACATGGGATTTTGATACGGAAAATGGCCTTTTCAGCACGAGATAACGTTACGAACTAATTGTCATGCCAAATCCTACACAAAATAGAGTATTTCATCATAAGTTAGAATGTCAATTGATGATGGGTTGATCTAAACGTCATCAGTTACCAGCTGCTAGTGCATACTGACTCAGATGTCGCTAGAGATATTGTTATTCTCCACTCGCGCGTTCTAATTTCTAAGGAAATCAATTAAAACATCAACGTGGAGAACTTTTTTCTTGGCATTTTTGTTCGATTTCGTGTTGTTTAAACAAGATGTTTTAGAGCATCTCCAATGTAATACTCCATTTTTTCCTCCAAAATGGAATAAAAGTGAATATGGAGTAGAAATGCTCAATCCCTACTTCATATCTCACTCAATAATAGAGTAATGAACAAACAAAAAATAGATTACTCCATTTATGGAGTAAATTTTATTATGGAGTGGAAAATAGAGTTAGGTTGGAGTGTTTTTTACTCCATATTCTCTTTTACTCCATTTTGGAGTAAAAATTGGAGTTGGGTTGGAGATACCTTTAACCCCGATCAATTTATGAATCTTCCAGCTTAGCGATCGGGTTCTAGCATCCGCATGCACCTACTTGATCATAAAAGAAGTCACGTTGGGTTTTAAGACCTATGAAACACCAGATTCAAGCGAATTGAACTAGAGATATCACCTTTTTAAAAATGATTAGATTTAAAGAAATATACTCAATTACGAGAAAAAAACAATATGTTCAATTTCTGAGTGATTTTTATTAATGATTTTAGAATATTATAACTATGCAGATCTAAAATAATTTGATATGATGAATTGTTGACAAAATATCTTAAGCAATTAACATTTTACAAGGAACAAAGAATCCATAAATTAGAATATTATAACTATGCAGATCTAAAATAATTTGATATGATGAATTGCTGACAAAATATCTTAAGCAATTAAAATTTTACAAGGAACAACGAATCCATAAATTATGCGTCAAATGGCTAATCATAGTGTCTAAAAACCTTCGGAGAATAGTCCATTTGTACTTCACATAGAATACAAGTAGATATCTAAATGAAAACCGGATATATCGTTGGGTACATGGGTTCGCGCCCAAGGTGCATCTGAGGAGATGAGATGTATGTTGAGGTCAAAATCGGTACGACGGAATTAATTGCCAAAACTTTTCGCAAAAAAAAAAATAAATAAAAATATGTTTTATAAAACTCGAAAAGTCGTTTTATAAAGTTCAAAGAATTACCAAACAAAGGAAACCCGCGGAAAATCGGAAATCGTTATCTTGGAAGAACGAAACAAACGCTGATTACACGATTTCCCGAGTTAAGCACAAAACCACGAAAAACCGCATCGGCCGTAAACCGTGAGCTGGTCGGCCAAATTATCTCGCCGTACGGCGAGCTAGTCTGGTCGAACTAGCTCGCCGTACAGCGAGCTAGTCACTTCGCAGATAGCTCGCCGTACGGCGAGCTGAACCGATCCGGTTCGGCTCTTCGTACGTCGAGCTGATTGTCCCGAGCCTCGGTCTCCCACGTCCTCGATTCAAGGCATACGTTCTTCGGCATGTTCCGAACCAGGGTCGAAATGCCTCTCGTTTCGTTACGATCCGTCTTATCGTTCAAGTTTTACGATAAAAACCGTAAGGCCTTGTTTTCTCGAAAGAACTCAAGGAAATCCTATAAAACGGCAACAATTACACAAAACACCAAACATTGCCTAAATTATACGATTTACTCGAGATTTTTCATAAGAAATCGTAAAAAACGCGTTTCTAATATAACCTCGAGTAAATCGTAGAAAACGGCAATGATTAACCGAAACATCGAAGATTGTCAAACTTTATGATTAACTCGAGAAACTTATTTAAAAACGGCATCGCATCAGGAAATGACCTTGTCTAAAGTCGTAAAACGGTTTTATCGCAGAACGGCTCAAAAAGTCTTAAAACGCAATAAAAGCCAACTTGCGACTTTAAAGAAGTCCAGCCCAAAGATACGACAACGATTTAACGATTTACTCGCAGAAAGAAGATAAATGTCAAGTTTGAAGATAGATGTCAAGTTTGAGGATAAATAAAAGATTTCCGCAGGAAAAAAAGGAAAGATCGAGATAAATGGAAGATTCTCGATAAACTCGAATCTGGGCGAAATGGAAGGACTAAACCGCCTAGAAAGGGAGTATATAAGCAAGAGGCAGAGGACATAAGAGGAGGACGATTTTTCGAGAGCTTTCACCACCAGAAACTTAGCACTTAGGGTTTTTTCCGTTTTTGTTATAGAGCTGCGCCTCAACTAGGTTTTTAGTCTTAGACTGCTAGGGTTAGGATCTCGCCGACGGCTCACGCGGCTAAGTCTCACTCTGGTTGTAACGTTCTTACGCAGATTCAGAATAAGACTCTTTTCGTTCTCAATCTCGTTATTCACATCCTTATTTCATATTTATCGTTGTCTTGATTGTTCTTGTGCGGTTCCGCAGATAGTCGGGTCCTCTGGGAAATTAGGGTTAACTCTAAATTCCCTTATTTACGTAATCTTGACAGTACGTGAATTTCGGTTCCAACAGTTTGGCGCTAGAAGGAGGGGGGGGGTCGGATCTATCTTACACTCAAGCCGCAGCACGCTTGATCAAGAAACGATGACTGGTGACAACCAAAATCGCGACGAAAGCGACAATGTTGTTCGCCCCATAACCGAGCAGGGAAATCAGACGGAGAAAAACTCCGAAAAGATAACCATGACGCGACGCTGAACGAACCGGACAAATCCTACTCACAGACCTCTGCCAGAGTCTTCTCCCGAGCGTTCTCTTACTGAAGACGAGGAGGAGCTCAATTTTGTGCAACTAGCAAAAACAGCCGAGGAACGGTCACGAGTTACTCGCAGTAAACACCGACGAGGTCGGAAAGCTGCTGGCGACTTAACTGAGATCCGCAATCTCCGTGAGTATATTACTAAAACGGCCGCAGCGTTGAAAGTGGTGAAGTCTCAAATTCACCACGCTAGCAGCGCCGCGCCTGAAATCGATCAACTGCTATACGAATCTCGGAAAACGTCTTTTACGGCCCGCATCAGCGAGGTCAAGCTTCCCAATCCAGGAGAGCTAAAAGTACCTACTTACGACGGAACGGCTAATGCCAAAGCGCACCTACAGGCCTTACAGATTACCATGGGACGAGCCAAGCTCAAGGATCACGGAAAAGATGCAGGCTACTGCCGTCTTTTCATCGAAAACCTAGAAGGAGCAGCGCTCGAGTGGTTCGCCAAACTTAGGCGGAATTCAATTGGGAGTTTCCGCCAGCTCGATTCCGAATTCCTGAAGCAGTACTCGATGTTTATAAATCAGGAAAACTCCGACGCCGATCTCTGGAGCTTGTCGCATAAAAAAGACGAATCCCTTCGCGACTTCATGAGCAGATTCAAACTCGTCATGGCTAGGGTTAGTGGAATAAGCGATAAAGCCGCCATCAACGCGCTCAGAAAATCACTCTGGTTCAAGTCGAAGTTTCGAAAGTGGATAACGCTCGAAAAATCGCGGACGATCCGGGATGCGCTCCACAAAGCTAACGATTACATAACCATCAAAGAGGAGACCAAACTCCTGTCTGAAAGCATAAGCCGACGAAAGCTTCCACAAAGGATATCGCGTCTGAGCAAAAGCCGAAAAAGAAAATATCTCGTAACGATAAATTCATCCATCACGAGGAGCAGGATCTCCAAGGGGCGCACAACTGATATATGGTGTTTTTAGCATATTCTAACAATGTTTTCTAAAGTGTTTTTAAGTCTTTATCGAGTCTTTTTAGTCCTTTCTAAGTCATTACAGGTATGGAGTTGCTTTGGATGGAAGATGGACCAGTTGGAGAAAAAGAGTGCAATCTGGGAATTTTCACGCGGAACAGTCTGCAAACTGTTCCCGAGTGAGCGGAG